AATAATAAAGGTGAGAATTCTAAAAAGGAAAATGTTTATGTAAGGTGTCAATCTTATACTGTACAAGTAAAGTGCACCTCAAAAACCACCAAAAAAGGGTGTTAAGATCTTGTATTTCAACCTGTGATATATGGATATGAAAAAGAAGAAGAGAAAAATATACTTTAATTTTTAGATTATTAGAAATAAACCTTAAACTTTCTAAAACCTCATCCATACCTTTTTTTTGGGTGAATAGACAAAAATAGCTTTCATGATAGTCTTAAAACCATAAAAGCATAAAAATCTATTGAAAACCGTGATGGTCATAACGGTTGTAAGTTAAATGCAATTTTAAAGCATCACAACACTTAACAAACCTAGATGGTTTATTGATTTGTCACGGTTCTAATTTAACCGTTATACTCCCTAAGCATCACATGCATAAAATAATCGTGATGATCTTTTAACCACTCCCGCCTATCTGCTCCTTTCCTTCTTCCTGTCCTTTTTTCCTTCCCACAACCCATTTGTCATCTCCCATCCATAACTCTCTCTCTCTCTCTCTTTCTAATAGGGGTGTCGTGATGTCTCTTGACAACCACCACGGCTTTTTAAGCATTGTGATGTCTCCTATGACCATCACAATAAACTCTCTACCGTGATGCAACCTAAGATTACTGTGAATACTATTTTGAATAAAAAAAAAAAAAAAACACAAAAAGTGAAAAAAAAAGATATGAATGAAGTTTTGGAAAGTTTGAAGTTTATTTCTAATAATCCAAAAATTAATGTATATTTTTATCATTTTTTAAAAAAAAAATCCTAAAAATAATGCAATGTGTAAAAAGTTATTTGGATAGCTAATTCAAGATTATGAAGCATTTATATCTATATCATTTTTAAAATTTTAAATTTTATAATTCGATGTGAAAATAGATTTTCAGGCCAGCTTTCGACGATTAAATTACACACTTAATCTTCCTACAGAATTTAAAGTGGGCCTCACTTCAACAATATATGTGGGCACCTCAACCAAAAACAGCCAAGCAATAAAGAAAAGCAAAAGGTTGCCTAAAGAGTGGGATTTGGGGACCACGCTCTCAAAAGCTCCAAGAGAGATCCAAAACCCACCAAAAACAAAAAATTGAGTGGGAGTGTTGGAGAGAAGACCAAACCAGACCCCAGAAAAGTAAGGAAAAAAACAAAAAAGGTTGGGGGGGTTTGCACCATTTTCCTTCTCTCTCATCCACGAGAGACATGAGAAGGGCTAGTGGAGTGAGAAACTCCACGTTTTTTACTCTCCCCTCCACAATATACATGCACTGTTATGCTTGGAGGCTTGAGATTATATTATCTACGTTTTATTAATGGACGAGGAGAAAGAGTCTACAAAGGCAGCAGCCCACCACAGATTACAGATGCAGTATCAAGGATATACCACCCACTAATTAACAGAAAAGCATATCGATCTCTGTCCTTTCGCATGTCGGAAGAGATACTAAATTAGTCAGAAGATTTATGCTCCTTTGAGAGCATTTCTTGCTGCTAAAACTTGGCATCGAGCCCGGTTGGGCTAGGGCCAGGGGTACGATTGGGCTGGCCATGGGACCTCGCCTGGCCGTAATCTCTAAAGTTCTGTGCCGGACTGAGCCGAGCTTGGCCCAGCCCAGCCTTAGCATGAGCAAGGCTGTGTTAGGCCAAAAAAAAAAAAGGAAAAGAAATAAAGGGCTTCGCCTACTAGGCCCTACCATCCGGCCGTGGTGGCTGCGCCCCGGCCTGGCCCTCTAGCTATAATTTGCCCCAGTTTTACAGGGCGGGGGCGGGCTATCCAGTGCATTGTCAATCCTAAACCCAATCTAGTAGTGGTTTTTGGCCTTCAAATTCTTAGAGTCTAACCTCTTCAATTTGGAGACTAGCTAAAAAAGGGGTGAGGTTTATATAAGATGCCCACCTTTATGCTATATAAGATCCACTTCTAAATTTTACGGGAAGGTGCAGGTTCCATGTCGAATACTCTATAATGGCTTGGAAATCCATGTACAAAAACATTTATGAAATTTAATATTTAAAAAAGATAACACTACGCAAGTAAAAATGAAATAGTGTTTTTGCCTATAGGCTCGTTGCCTTCTGATGTCTTTTAGACGGCAGAGAAAAATCGACCACCACGGATATACTATGCCCGTTGTGAAACCACTATGGATATAGTAGGTCCATTGCAGTCGATTTTTCATGCAAAACTGCAAGCCGTTGCACTTTTTCATGCTATTTAACGCTAAACCGCAATGGCCGTTGTGAGGCGAAATCATCGAACATTTTCGGGCTTTTAAGGCTTTTTTTTTAAAAAATAATGTAAATTTAGAAAATCTACAAATACTTTAAAAATCTTGAAAATAGAAAGTCCAGATAACTTGTTATTGAAATGTTGTTTCTTCTTTATGTTCATAGGTTCAATTTGAAAGTTTTCCAACTTAAGAACACTCGCAACCTTATTTGAATTTTTCAAAGTGGAGTTAAAAACTATTTATCAAGGATGAACGTATCTCAGTATTTAAGAACTCAAAATCCAAATTTGACTATTAAAAGAAACTCTTAAGGTGCATTTCAAGATTTAAATTCAAAAATACCCAAAATAAAATTTCCACCAGCATGTTACTATATTTCCATCAGAGCACGCTGTACATACTCATTACACTAACCATTTATTGTAAAATTTATCAAGAAGGAACCATTTTAAAAGCATGTTAAACTTTTTTGGGAAATTTATTGGGAAATTCTATTTTACATCTTTACAATGAAGTATGAGTTTTCAACCTTTTTTTTTTTCCTCTTCTCAACCTACCTTCAATGAATCAAAGTGTGATGCGTCCAGACTTAGAAGTTCCAAATCCAGCATTCACTCACGTGAATAAAAGTCATTTTTTAAGAAATAAAAAAAATAAAAGAGATTTCAAGTTAAAATTAAAATTAATGATCATTTCTAACTTTTCCAAAGTCCATCTCTGCCTCATTTTTCAATTCGGTCACATTTGTTTTACGCGAAAATATTTTTGGGGAAATACTTTCACGTAAAAGAACTCATTCATACAGTTAGGTGTGAGAATACTTTCATATCAATCGATCCGAGTGCATTTTTTCATACTAATTGGTGGTTAATTGATGTGAAAATATTCACATATCTAACCACATTAACGAATTTTTTCACGTGAAAATATTTTTTGAAAAATATTTAAATAATATTGTCACATGTACAACCATATCATTCCCTCTATCTTGCTTTTTAGAGTGCTATTAAACCAAATTAAAAACCAAAAGAAGAAAAAGAAAAGAAAAAAAGAGGAGAAAAATATAAAAATGTACCAAAAGAAGACTTGCTAGGCAACCTATCCCAAATCAAGTTTTTTTTAACAATTTTTACTCCAAATTAATACCCATAGTGCAGGATCGCCCCATTTTATGATGGACCGCATGCTCTCCAAATGGCCAAAGTGCCGGACCGCCCTATTTTATGCCGGACCGCATGTCCAAAGTGCCAGACCACACCTATTTTGTGTTGGACCAACCTCATTCTATGCTCAACTGCGTGCTCTTCGGAGGGTATTTGGTCTTCATTCCCCTTTTTTTTTAACTTTGAGATATTTGTTAGGAAAGTTGAATTTGGAATAAAAATGGCTGAAAAAGCACTTGATTGGGGATTTTATAATTTTCCATTTTTTTTTTCCTATGTGTCAGTTGATGCCCTCATGTCTTGACTGTCTAGTCTTGACCTATTGTGGTTTGAATATGCCCAAAGGATGCTTGGATCATCATTGTAGAGGTGTATATGAATATAATTGGTGAAATGATTGGGTTGATCTGGAAACTTCATGATTAACCAAATGTATCTGTATTTACTATTAAGTATTTTTGAGCGGTCAGTAGAATCCCTAGTGCTGTGGTCAGGGATCGTCGATCAAAATGGAACGGTTTTGGTCGCTTTCTTATATTTTTTATGTGGAAAAAAAGGCACTGCTGTGGTAGTCCCGTGGCACCATTAGTGCATGTGTTTCACGGGGCAAAAAGACTATGCTTTAAAGGTTTTTAATGGACCATCTGTTTTTTATTTTTTTATTTTTGATTGATGTTGCGCGACAATTTCAAAAATAAAATATAGAAAGAGAAAATAATGTTTTAATTTAGATAAAGATGAATGTAGTTAAGATGATGATATTGAGATAGATGAGTGACAAAATAAGAAGAGATAAAATTCAAAACGAATACATTTAGGAGAACTTAAATATGTTTCCAATAGACAATAAAATGAGAGAAAATAGATTTAGGTGGAATGCATACACAATACATCTGTTAAGAGATTCGCGTTAGTTCAAGTGGAAGGCTAAAAAAAGACAAAAAATCAATCCAAAAGGACAAGAGAAAAAATATAGGGATCTATAACCTTACTGAGGGTATAGCTTTTGATAGAACAAAATGTTCATATAGCCCAATCTAAATAATTTAAAAAAAAAGATAATGATTGTAAAATCGTAAATGTGTTTTTCCATAATTTTGAGGGATTTTGGAGCTCCGAAATTCTGTTTAACTGGTTTGTATAGTGAATAAAGAGAATTTAGCAGTATTGGGTAACAAAAAGGGAACTATGATGTGCGTCACGAATCCAATCGTACATTTGCATTCAGATAGACATGAATGATACAATCTCATAAGATGGATTTAAGTGTTGGTCCCTGAAAAACAAGCATTGAACCTAATGGTCTAAAAATATTTCCTTCAAATAAATAAAAATTTTTATTTTTAAAATTTTTATTAGAAGATAGATTATACGGGGGGAGCATTGTTGTACATGCGAATTCGAGGACTCCGAGAAAGAGCAAAACAGTCCCCAAAATGGAATTTTTCCGTGGATCAAATACACAATTTGGTACCGCGATATCACGAAATCCCTTCCAAGCAAATCCATCCTCGAAAAGGGCTCCCCTCCTATTTAAAAGGCAGGATAAGTTGAGGTCCCATCCATTCGTCTCCAAGATTTCAGTAAGAAGAACACCGCCCTCAACCCTTGCCTCTGTATTTCTGTCTTTCCATTGCAGAGTGATAGAGAGAGAAAGAAGAGAGAAGGAATTTTGTTTGTGCCGTTAGCTTCAGACTGCAAATAGAGAGTGAAAAACCAATCTTTGCTGCTGGATTCAGTTGCAGAGACATAGAGAGAGAAAAATAGAGAGAGAAAGAGAGGTTGCTAGGTTCTGTTTAGAAATTAATTGTGTTGGGTTATTAGATAAATAACCCAACAAACTGTGTGTAGAGAGAGAAACAGAAAGACAGGGCTTGTAGCTTTGGGATCCTGCTTCTGGTGGTCTCAATTGGAGAGAGAAGGCGGTGGATGTGGCTTTGCGGTCGAAAATTTTGAGGTTTGCAAAGTTGGGGCATCACGGCTGAGCAAAGGGCTGTGCGGCGGCACCTCCATGCGCAAGTGGAGCGCCGACGCGTAGAGAGCAGCACCCCATCCCCCCACGGCGGCAGGGGAGCTCTCCCTTCTGAAGGTGGCAGCCCCTCGGATCTTCTCTTCCTTGCAGGCGGTGGCTTCTTTTCTCTCTCTTCCTCGCTTCTCACTCTTCTCCCTCCTTGAAATTGAATTCTAGGGAGAGAAAGAGAGGATTTTGCCCTTTTTTAGCATTTGGAATTTGATTTTCATAAGCACAAAGCCACAAAGTTCTTCTTCTGCCCTTCGATCGATCTGTGAAAGAAATAAAGAGAGGAATTATGCTAACTATCAAGAGGGTTCCTACCGTGGTCTCCAATTATCAGGAGGAATTGGAGAACCTCGGCTGCGGGCGTAATTGCCTTGGCAATTGCTGCCTTCCTGGTATGCTATCTTTTACTTTTTTTTTCTTTTTTTTCAATGAATTCTTATTTGTTTCTCTCTTAGGAACCTCATTTATTCTATTGTTGGTTTTCCCGTTAGATTTTCCTTCTTTTCCAGTTTTAATGGACAACTCTCTTGATTCTCTTTTTACTGATCTTGTATATTCATCTATGGAACTTTTGCTGTCCTTAACCCTAGAAACACATTGGGTCGTTGAGGATTTCTTCTTTGCTTGTTACTCAGACATGGATTTTCACATTCTAATTTTGAGTTCATTTCTTCTTTGTTAGTTACTTAGGGATGGATTTTATGTTTTCTGATTCTGATTTTGGGTTGGTTTTTGATAATTAAGTCTCAAAGCTGCCCCTGTATGCCTTCAACAAAAAACGGGGTTTAGCAGGCGGCAAAGATGAGAAAGAAAGTGAATCCGAGCCTGAAAAATCCTTCCTTGACACACTGCTTCTTGGGCAGGTGAGATAATGACAACAACTTCTCTTTCTGTTAATAGCTATTCTTTGTGGGATTTGGTATTCATGGAATCACTGCTGTATGCTCCGTTTTCTGAGTGTCTCAATTTTTAATACAGTGGGAAGATAGGATGAGCAGGGGTCTTTTCCGATATGATGTCACTGCTTGCGAGACGAAGGTAATTTTACAGAAGTACACTGAAGCTTATTTCTCTATGGATTGGAATACATACACAAAATGAAGGGGAGATGGAGGGAGACTAGAATTATGTGTGTTTCTGTATTGTTTTGAGAGGTGGGACTGAGAGTGAGAATCATTAGGAACAGTATCAAAACTGTACAAATTGGGAAAGAGTGTCACGAGGATAGACTAGCAAAACATTAGTTTTCTATGTGTTCTCCAATAGTTTGTAACATGCAGGATAGATTCCCTTTAGAAAAGATAAGCAAACTATGGTTTTTCTGTATTCTCCCATGGTATTTGTGTATCTGTGTGTGTGCGCGAGAGAGAGAGAGAGAGAGAGAGAGAGAGAGAGAGAGAGAGAGAGAGAGAGAGAGAGAGAGAGAGAGAGAGAG